CTTGGATCAGTCAATGTCCCCATAGAATGATTATTTGCCTCACAGTATAAGCCTGGCTTTTTGGACTGATTAAGTCATAGATGAGTGGATGATGGTCCATATATAAAAGTGTTGAAGTGTTCAAGTAGAAATTCCCCAGGGTTAGTGATCCTCGGTTGCAGAAGTCCTCCTGATATTAGCATGAATGGATAAGACAACTCTCTTGAGGGAAGAGTCAAAGACCCCCTCCTCTGGAGCCCAGTGCTGAGCTACATAATTTTTACATTCCTCTTGGGTTCCCTAAAGATGTCTAGAAGAATCTTTTTGTTGGCTGTTGGTACATCCACTGATTTCTTTCTCTCTCCAGCTTATCTCTTTTTCTCCCGGGAACCTCTCTAGGTTGTAAGGGAAGACCAAAAACCAACTAGGTATCCCCTCCACTTTAAAGCTTTGTCTGGTTAAATAAGATGAACCTTATAAGAAATGCTTAGCTCTTTTGGGGAAGAAGTGATCTGTTTTTGTAATAATCTCTCCATACCCAGCAGCACTTCTTTCCCTAAGGTGGCCTTCAGGTATATCGTAAGAGAGGGCTTATGAGATTTTATAGCTTTCAAAAATAGGCTCTCTATGACCAGATGGTATACTTGCTCAATCAGAATATAGTCCTCGAGTATTAAAAGACAGTATCAATATAGAAAGGGCAACTCACAGAATATTTGCAAATCATATATCTGATAAGGGATTAATGTCCAGAATATTCTTTAAATCCCTACAACTCAGAAAGAAAATAATCTGATTCCAAAATGGGCAAAGGTCTTGAATAGACATTTCTCCAAAACAGATGTACAAGTTGCCAATAAGCACAAAAAAGATGCTCAGCATGACTAATGATTAGGTAAATGCATACCAAGCTGGAAGTGATACCTCATGCATATAATCCCAGCAGTTTGGGAGGCTGAGTTGGGAGACTCACTTGAGTCCAGAAGTTCAAGACCACTCTAGGCAATATAGTGAGACCCCATATCTACAAAAAATTTAAAAATTAGCTGGGCATGGTGGCACATGCTTGTAGTCCCAGCTACTTGGCAGGCCAAGGTGGAAGGATTGCTTGAGTCCAGGGGTTAAGGCTATAGTGAGCTGTGATCACACCACTGCACTCCAGCCTGGGTGAAAGAACAAGACCCTGTCTTGAAAAATAAGTGAAATAAAATAAAATATCTTACTGCATTCTGAGTTATGGGAAAAATAAAATAAAATGCAAACCAAGACCATAATGAGATACCATTTCACACTCATTAGGATGGCTATAATTTTTTTTTAAAATCAGAAAATAAACTAGTTTTAGCAAGAGTGAGTAGAAATTGGAACCTTTGTACACTGTTGGTGGGAATGTAAAATGGTGCAGCCACTGTGGAAAACAGTATGGTGGTTCCTCAAAAGATTAAACATAGAATTACCATATGGCCTAGCAATTCCACTTCTTTATATATACCCACAATAATCGAAAGCAGGCCCTTGAATAAATATTTGCATACCACCACTATTCACAATAGGCAAAAGATACAAACAACCCAAATGTCCATCAGTGGATGAATTGATAAACAAAATAAGACATATACCTATAATGATACTACTCAGCCTTAAAAAGAAGTGAAATTCTGATACATAAATGTGGGAGACATAAAGCCAAATACAATAGGATAAATATTATATAATTTCACTTATATGTGTTACTAGAACAGTCAAATTCATAGATACAGAAAACAGAATGGTGATTTCTAGGGGCTGGGGGATGGGGAGAATAGAGAGTTAGTGTTTAATGGGTACAGAATTCTTGTTAGGAATGATGAAAATGTTCTGTGAGTGGATTGTGGTGATGATTGCACAACAGTGAGAATGCACTTACTGTAACTGAACTGTACACTTAAATAGTTAACATGGTAAATTTTATATATATTTTTACCACAATTAAATTTTTTAAAATGAACATGTAATCTTCAAGGATGAAGATTTATTACCTGAAAAGCAATAGGATGTGGGGAAGGGTGATGGGCTTCTCTTGCCTCCCTCTCTCTCACTGACATAATCTCTTAGAATTGTATAACTGGTTTTTGTCTCCTATCTGTCCCTGCATACCACCACCAGATATCCACATTGCTACCTCACTCCTTCATTGTCTTTTGGCTTCTATAGTTTCTGATAAGAATTCTGCGGTAGGGCCGGGCGTGGTGGCTCAAGCCTGTAATCCCAGCACTTTGGGAGGCCGAGGCGGGTGGATCACGAGGTCAAGAGATCGAGACCATCCTGGTCAACATGGTGAAACCCCGTCTCTACTAAAAATACAAAAAATTAGCTGGGCATGGTGGTGCGTGCCTGTAATCCCAGCTACTCAGGAGGCTGAGGCAGGAGAATTGCCTGAACCCAGGTGGCGGAGGTTGCGGTGAGCCGAGATCGCGCCATTGCACTCCAGCCTGGGTAACATGAGTGAAACTCCGTCTCAAAAAAAAAAAAAAGAATTCTGCGGTAATTCTTATCTATTTTTTTTCCCCTCTGTGTTTCCCAGCCCCTTCTTGCTCTTCATTTCTTCACATCTCTGTTCAATGGTCTTTCCTCAAACAGCTCTTAAACTAACCATTCTTCTTAAAATGGCCTTTTTTTTTCTACCTGCTTTTAAGACTTTTCTCTTTATCAGTGGTAATAGCCAGCCATGAATTTATAATAGATGGCACCTGTGGTAGGAAGTGAGACAAGAGAAGTTCATCAACCGCTCCTTACATCCCATTGCTATCCTGGCCATAAATGTTCATCCTCGAAGATATTTCTGACTGTATAAGGACACCATGTGGACCTGAAGAGGCTGTTCTTCAAAGCTATGAGATTATGTAAACTTTCTCACACCATACACCTGAAGGCCAACTCAGGGAAAGAAGCAGTGGAGGGTATGGGGATGCTATCTTAAAAATATATTATTTTTTCTAAAAGACATACATGTTTCTTGCAGGATTCATTTAAATTACATAATCAAATAAAGCTTTAAACCAGAGTAGGCAGCCCTAAATGGATCTATGCCTAATACGCAACTTCAAAATACATGGAACAATGTGAATAGTGATCCTGGAATTGTGCAATGTAGTGGCCCTGCTTGTTAGTCCCTTCCCACTCTTCACCTCTTCACATTATTCACATCTCTGTTCAATGCCATTTCCTCAAACAGCTTGTAAATTAACCATCCTACTTAAAACAGCCATTTCCCCAACCATCCCATAACTCTGCTTTATTGCCCTTTGTAGCACTTATTCACAACATACTATTTTATTATTTATTGGTTACTTGTCTGTTGTCAGTCTCCTTCACTAGAGTACAAACACCATGGGTGCATCATCAGTGTCATAGTCATATCATATACCCAGTTCTTTGATAAGAGCCTAGAACATTCATAGTAGATGCTCAACAATATTTGTTGAATGAATGTATTTATGTATTTACTTACTATATTATTTAATACAAAGTATGTATTTGTCCATTCTCACATTGCTATAAAGAACTACCTGAGACTGGGAAATTTATTAAGAAAGGAGGTGTGCTTGCCTCGGCAGCACATATTCTAAAATTGAAACAATACAGAGAAGATTAGCATGGCCCCTGCGCAAGGATGATACACAAACTCGTGAAGCGTTCCATATTTTTTCGGGAAAATTACAAAGATCAGCTTTTGAAGTGGAGCCTCAAAGTTCCAAACCAAGTAAATAAATCTATGCAAATAATAAAAAAAAATGAAACGAGGTTTAATTGATTCATGGTTCCACAGGCTGTACAGGAAGCATGACTGGGGAGGCCTCAGGAAACTTACATTCAGGGCAAAGGGCAAAGGAGAAGCAAGCATGTCTTCACATGGTAGCAAGAGAGAGAGAGAGCTGAGGGGGAGTGACACACACTTTTTTTTTTTTTTTTTTTAAACATCAGATCTTGTGAGAACTCACCATCACGGAGCAGCAAGGGAGAAAACTGTTCCCATGTTCCAATCACCTCCCACCGGTCCCTCCCCCAACATTGGGAATTACAATTCAACATGAAATTTGGGTGGGGATGCAGAGCCAAACCATATCAAAGTATATAGGTAATATTTATAACTGTTACTTGAGTTTAATTGTCTTCTTCATTTTTATATTTTTTCCATTCATTCTGCAATCCCTTATTAACTTTATGTCATGTATACAGTCAGCTTGAGAGGTGGAGGGAGACAAAGACTATAAAGTAGGAGCTCCACAAAGAAATCCCCACTTCCTGTGGAATAAAATTCGAAGTCCTTTGCAAGCAGATTGGACATCCTACATCTAACGGGGGGAATAAAGTTTTATTTTTTAAAGCACTCAAGAAGTTATGTTTGTTTCTAGAAACGTGGAAGCATCCCTCTGCTTCCTTCCAGCGTCCCCTGCTTCCTTCTAGCCTCCCAAGGAGCCCAGCTTCTTAATTTTCCCTGCAGAGCATAGCACCAGGGCTGAAGCAGCCTGAATCAAAGCTCCTCCCTTGGTAATTGACAGCTGGGGGAAATCCTACCCAGGTCCGCCCCCACCCTCCTCCTTGCTGGGCTGACAGGCAAAACTCTGTGGCAGTGGCTTCCCGCTCAGCCAATAGACAAAGCGGGAGCAAGAACCCTGTGTAAACAAACCCAGAGCGCTGCGCCTTGGTATCCTCCCCAACCGGTGGGTCGGACGCATCCTTGGCCCAATGCCTATCCCAGGCTAGCGTAGCGTCCTTTCAGCCAATCATAGCCGGCGTCTCCCACAAGGAGGCGGTCCATCCCAGGAAAAAAAAAAAATGAAGGAAGCGAAAAGACAGGCATTAAAACCAATCAGAAGCTGAAACTTGTGAGGGAGTGGGCGGGCCCTGCTTCACATTTAGACCAATAAAAACCATATATGCCATTCTAGGTGACTGAACGGCGTCTTCTTCGGCCCAATAGACCAATGGGGCGGTGCCCGGCAACCAATAGCTTGGGTCGGGGGGCGGGGCAAGGAGGCAGTGTGCAGTAAGAGGTAACCTGGCAAGTGGTAGTGGCGCTTCTCGGGTGCTCTGCCTCAGGTTTAGGTACTAAAGGCCGAGACTGTCCTGGCGACGGCGACCTCTGCGGCGACGACTTAAGCTCTCAGAGGAGTGGCAGAGTACGGTCTGAAGGAAGGGCTTCTGGTCAGCCCAGGTGGGCTTGGGCTGTCGGGGAAAGGACTCGCGGGAAGTGCCGTTCTCCCGGCTCTGGGGGCGCCCTGCGCCTCCGTTTCTGCCGCCGTCGGGGCTGTGAGGGGCGGCACGCGCCCGCAGGAGCTCCTGTGGGGCGGGAAAGCGTGCGGAGTCCCACGTCGCGGCCATCGGCGAGAAGGGTCGTCCGCTGGGGTCAGCCCCTGCCCCTCCGGGGCGACAGAGGGTTTTCCTCCTTTTCCCCCGGGCACAGGTGCTCTGTTTTCCCCACCCAAGTTCCTGGCTGCCTTCAGCGTCCTCTTAACACTCGAACCGGATTCTCGGCCTGAATCCCATTGCTACCCAGGTGCAACAATGCTAGGCAAATTAACCCGCGCGGCATCCTCCGCCCCTCTCCCCGGGCTGGAGACGGAGGGATTGCTCGTCGTGCCCCTCCCCCATTCGCGGGCCCCTGCGCGTCCTTTGCCTTTTTATACTCTCTCCATCTCCCCCTTGACTCCAACCCTCATTCTTCATGCCTCATTTGCTTGGGAGACGTTGGCCACTTCTCTTGTGCCTTGCGGTCCGTGAGTGAGTCCATCACCCCCTAGCAACCCCCAAATTCCATTCTCATCTCTCCTGAAAACTATCATTTTCCACTTGCGTCTTCCAGGCAGTTGGAAGGTGAACCGAGAGAGGCAGAATACGCTGAACAGGGAGTTTGGCAAGGTTGGGAACTTTAATCGGTTTTCTTCATGGTAAACTGTTTTTGTCTTCCTTAAGATGGCATTTGATCATTATACTCGCTCTAGAATCTATGTCCTCATGTAGTTCTTTTGGTGATAATCGCTGAAATGCAGTTGAAAAGGACTATCTAGAAGCAAGAAATTTAAATTTTATTATTTTAAGTAAATTGAATTGGATTATACTTTAAACAGCTTAACTGGGGTTTCTACGAGTTTGCACTGTAAGGGCCTGGCTACCGTACTTTGTCATAAAATATAGGACATACTTAGCTGTACAGTACAATGTGATTTGATCACATCCAACCTATGAATGCATAATAACAGCACTGGATCTGTTTAAAAACAGATTCCCTGTTCCCTTTTCACTTTCATAGTATATTCGTTTGGTTTCTAGTAATGTTGATTGTAGCCATATGTTCTTAGATAATAGTGCAAACTATGTTGTGCCTAAGTAAAATTATACCTAGAATTGTATGGGGAAAAGCTAATGCACTGCTCTTAGTTTTGATTAAGATTTTAGACGTTTGAAAATATGACAGGGTTTTATTTTGGAGGGTGGAGGAAAGTGCAGTATTGGAGTAAGACTGATAGGCTCCTTTGGCTACTGTGTATGGGGGTGGGGAGAATATACAAGTTTACAAAATCTTGTAAATTCTCATAGTGTTTAGTTTCATGACTTTACAAAAACTGGAATTGTTTTTCCTAACTCTCAGTGGAGAAATGTAAGCTGTAAGTTTAACATATTTACTGTGTTTTGGCCAGGATTTTGCAAGCTTTTGTGGAAAAAATTATATTGCTTTTCGTATCCAGTTTGTAACATATATATCAGTATGCTTCCTTGTATTTTACTGTGGCAAAACTGTATCTTGCGTATACAGAAATAAGTTTATTAGAGTGAATTAAAGGAAATCTTTACTCTGAGGTGGCAGCCTTGTCTAATGGACCATATGTTTAAGCCTTATTAATAAATCACACTAGCGCCTAGCATGGTGGTATGTGTCTGTAATCCCAGCCACTTGGGAGGCTGAGGCAGGAGGATTGTTTGAACCTGGGAGTTTAAGACCAGCCTGGGCAACATAGTGAGACCCCATCTCAGTCAGTCAGCCAATCAATCAATGACACTAAAATGAGCAAGACCTTAAAACTGTTCTAACAAATGTCTGGGTGTCTAAAACAATGAGAAGAGTTTATGACAGAATTACAGCAGTCATCAGAAAAATCCTGGACAAATTGCAAATCTGTACCAGTTGTGAGTTGCTATGACTGCAGTTGAAAACCAAGGTTATTTTGGTACAGTCTTTTTTGGGGAGTATTTGTGTTTAATAATAATTTGTTTGCAAATTTAGAGAACTCTGGCTATGATTTCTTCTTAGAGACCTTGACCTTGAGGAGCTCACAATTTAATGGAAGAGAGAACTAGAAACCAATAATTAAATGCAGGGAGTGAGGTTATGCAGTACAGGGTGTGTACAGGGTGCAGAGAAGCACAATGGCACTGTATTCTGGCTTCATCTTCTGCTCTAGACTCTCCGAAGTGCCATTTCCTGAACCTGTCTGTTTTTTTCCACCATCTGGACCTCTCTCTGTAGGTGCCGTTCTCTCCTTGCAAGTCTTTTCCACACCGTATGTGCCTGGTGAAATTCTGTTTGTTTAAAATCTTGAAGCCTGCCTCTATTTCATCCAAATAATTGTTTTGTCTTCTTCTCTGTTATTTCTTTATAAATGATTACAGTCAATTCTCATTATTTGCAGTAGTTATATTCTATAAAGTTGCCTAGAACACTGAATTATCAAATATTCAACTTTTGTTTCCAGGGAAAATATATACATATATGTACATATATACATATCTCACATAAATTATAATCTTAATTCCTAAAAACAGCTCATCTTGGTAGATTCTTTGTTTACAAAAGAATAAAGGAACTACAGAAGTGTTAAGCAATTTGCCTAAGGCCCCTCCACTAACAGGTGCCAGAGTTATGATTCAGACTCGTCCAGTTGGCCCCAGAGCCAGAGCTTCTTGCACTACACTGCACTGCCCTCTACTGTCTCTCTCCTTTGGTCAACTTTGTATGAGAGATGAAACAAGAAGGCCAAGGGTCATCTTATTTGACCTTAGCTTAGGACGTGGGCAAGAGCGACATATTTTTCACTGTGTGTATATCCATGAGTCACCTTGAAAGCTCTGCAAGTATTAATTTGGGGATTACAAAGACGTTTTAGCAAGTAAGCAAATTTGCAAATATGGGATCCACAAATAATGAGGTTGAACTATATTTGTAAATGACTGCTAGGGTCTGTTTCATTGTAACCCCTTCCCCCAACAAGGTGGAATGTTTCTTTAGCTTGATAGTTCGTTCATTTATTCATGTAATTATTCATTTATCATATATTCATTCAGTTCGTTCATTTATCATATATTAAGCACTTATTTTAATTCAGACTCTGCTTTTTTTTTTTTCAGATGGAATTTCACTTTTGTTGCCCAGGCTGGAGTGCAATGGCGCAATCTCAGCTCACTGCAATCTCTGCCTCCTGGGTTCAAGCAATTCTTCTGCCTCAGGCTCCCAAGTAGCTGGGATTACAGGCTCACATCACCACACCCAGCTAATTTTTGTATTTTTAGGAGAGATGGGGTTTTACCATGTTAACCAAGCTGGTCTCAAACTCGTGACCTCAGGGGATCCACCTACCTTGGCCTCCCAAAATGCTGGGATTACAGGCATGAGCCACTGCACCCAGCTTCAAACTCTGCTTTAATCTTTGGTGAGCAAGCTAGAGATTAAGGTCCTGCCCTGTGGGTTTTATATTTGTATAAGAAAGACAGATAGCTAAATCTGGAGCTCCGCGGAAAGGCCCAGGTTTAACCAAGGTAAACCTGGTATGCCCACCCCTACTTCACATCCTCAGACATACTTCCAGAACATTTCTATTCTTGTGTATAAATGCTTCCTTTTGAGCCTCTTTCCATTGATGCATGTCAACCTCTACTTGTCTTTTGTTGATTTTGAGGCCACTTGCCCATATAAGTGGCAGGATATTATAGAAGAATCATGCTGACCTGGGTCTCTGAATTCTGGTCTGCCACCTACCAACTGAGTTCCTTTGGTCAAGTTCTTGGACTTCTGAGCCTGTTTTCTAATTTCAAAAGTGGTGACATGATGTGTTAGTCCCTGGTGGGTTGCAACGAAGAGGTACACACATATCAGCTTTGGTGATCAGGGCTGAATGTAAACTTGGATGGGACGTCATCCAAGGAGCCATATTGTCTCTTGGCCCTAGTACTTTCAGAACCTCAAAGAACGTTAATTTAGCAGTATTTAGTATTTGAGCTCTGAAGACCTGCCCTCTTTTCCTTTGTTCACCCAACATTTGTATTTTCCACGAGAAAATGTCTGATTGGATTAGTTTGTCACCTTTAAAACAGAAGGCCTCTATTAGGGAGAATTTTGAGCCATGCCATGTCCTTGGCTCAAAATTCAAGCCTCTAAAGTTTGAATCCCTCTAAAGTTCAACCTATATGTTGTCCTTAGCTGAAGCACACTGATCCCTGGTCCAGTCACTTGTGGCCAAAGAAGTAAGGTTGATTTTATACATTATCAGTTACACAGATATGCACTGTGCTACAGATATGCAATGTGCCTTTTGTGTATGCCACAGTTACACAATAGTTGTATGACTATAGCATATTCTAAAATAACCCTTTGGAGAGTTTCTTTAGAAGACAGTTGACAGTATAGCAGTCCTATAGTTTCATGCCCTCTGTCCAATTCAAATATTTATCTAATATGATCATAGATAATTGTTAATGCATCTAACAAGGTAATTGACACTTGTCAAATATTCACATCGTCTCCCTTTTGGTGTTGCATTTAGTATAATAGTGTGGTTATTTGTACATATGGCTGTTTTTCATACTAGACCATGAGCTCCATGAGGGCAGGGTCTACAGTTTCAACTGTAGGAATTCTCAACTCTTACTGAAAGAATGGGAGGGCCGGGTGTGGTGGCTCAAGCCTGTAATCCCAGCACTTTGGGAGGCCGAGGCGGGTGGATCACGAGGTCAAGAGATCGAGACCATCCTGGTCAACATGGTGAAACCCCGTCTCTACTAAAAATACAAAAAATTAGCTGGGCATGGTGGTGCATGCCTGTAATCCCAGCTACTCAGGAGGCTGAGGCAGGAGAATTGCCTGAACCCAGGAGGCGGAGGTTGCGGTGAGCCGAGATCACGCCATTGCACTCCAGCCTGGGTAACATGAGTGAAACTCCGTCT